TTTTTTTTCCCCCCCCCCCCCCCCCCCCCCCTCTTGTTATTCCTCCACCCTTTTCCCTCCTTCCGACCCTTTTACCCCCCCCCCCCCCTTGTAAAACAAGCCCCCCCCTCGGTGTTTGCCATCGGGATTGGGTTTTCGTCGCTTGGCAACGACGTTGTAAAACAAGCCAATTCACTTCGTGAACTCGGCAACCAGGTTACCGTTTTTTTTTTTTTTTACCTCGTTTTTTTTTTTTGGCGGTAACCATAATGGTGGTCGAGTAGATCATGGTGTGCGGGGTGGAGAACCCTCCCTCCGCGCAACGGGGGATAATCGCACCACGTTGTGTTAAAATGGTCAAGCATCCTCGAGGCAGTTACACAGTGCTTACAACTGTCTCTGGAAGTGAAAGCACCAGAAAATAAATTAAGTCATACGTAGCTGTCATCCGTAGGCAAGGAAGTAAGCACAAGATGCCGAACACCCTTAGCAGGATGCAGCTCACCCTTCATGCGACTCGCCAAATACCTCACGGCGCTTCGCGCTTGGTGATGCGAGAGCCTGGTCCGGTGAGAATCCGGCGTGCTCCCGGCTTTGTAGGGATGCGAGGTCAATGGTCTAACGACTACGGCATGCACGACTATGAGTACCCCCCCCCCCGAGTAGACCCCACATAGTTGGGGAGTGTGAGTTGTACAGGAAGGAAAGAAAGGATCTCGAGGAGGAAATGAGACAGAAAGGGTGTGACATGGACAAGTTTGGTAAGTTAGACAACAGCGAGTGGTGTCGTGTTTGATGCGAGTTTGGCTATAGAGTGACGACAAGAAAGGATGTCGTTTCCATCTGAGGTACTGGTACATACGGCATCAGTTGTCTTCCGCTTTCGTTTCGGTGTTCCTCTACGGATACCAGTACGTACGAAGCAACAATAGCTTCGTGTTGTGAAAGGTGGGGTAGGATGTGGCTTGTACGTTGTGTGTCTGGTTGAGAGTATACGGTTGGCAACTTCCATACCAATTCAAATATGAAATCAACTGGCATCCCGTGTGAACCGCGACCATGCATACGTACATGCAGGGGTGGCGCTCCGCTGACACCATCCCCACATGTATAAGGAACACACATGTACCTCACTCCGGCAGCTGAAAATGAGCTCAATCTTGGGTTTGGCGGTCGGTGTGCGATCTCACTGACCCCGGTGCGTAAATGGATGTAAATCGGGCCGTTCTCGTATTTTTTTAGCAACCCCGTGCCATCTCCCCGACCGGTGCCACCTCTCAGACCGGTCCTATCTCTCCGACTATTCCGGTATATATTAAAGCTATGTTGTTTTCTTTCCGCGTTCACCCCTTCTAAACCAAAG